ACGGACATGACCAAAGACTGGGTTTCTGCCTTTCTGATGCTTTGCCTGAAGTCTGGAACCCACGGACATGACCAAAGACTGGGGTTCCTCCTTTCTGATGCTTAGCCAGGCTCTACCTGCAGCTGTCTTCAGTTGTTCTTTGTGGCTCTTTCTGCCTTTAGTTTTGCCTTCAGCAAGTGAAATGCATGCTCAATTGGGTTGAGATCAGATGACTGACTTGGTCATTGCAGAATATTCCACTTCTTTTCCTTCACAAGCTCCCGGGGTGCTTTTGCAGTGTGTTTTGGATCATTGTCCATCTGTACTGTGAAGCTCCGTCCAATCACCTTTGCTGCATTTGGCTGAATCTGGGCTGACAGTATATCTGTAAACACGGCAGAATTCATCCGGATGCTTCTGTCTTCTGTCACATCATCAATAACCACCAATGACCCAGTGCCACTGGAAGCCATGCATGCCCATACCATCACCCTGCCTCCGCCCATGCCATCACACTGCCTCCGCCCATGCCATCACCCTGCCTCCACCCATGCCATCACCCTGCCTCCACCCATGCCATCACACTGCCTCTACCCATGCCATCACCCTGCCTCCACCCATGCCATCACACTGCCTCTACCCATGCCATCACACTGCCTCTACCCATGCCATCACACTGCCTCCACGCCATCACACCGCCTCCACCCATGCCATCACACCGCCTCCACCCATGCCATCACACCGCCTCCACCCATGCCATCACACCGCCTCCACCCATGCCATCACACTGCCTCTACCCATGCCATCACACTGCCTCCACCCATGCCATCACACCGCCTCCACCCATGCCATCACACCGCCTCCACCCATGCCATCACACTGCCTCCACCCATGCCATCACCCTGCCTCCGCCCATGCCATCACACCGCCTCCACCCATGCCATCACACTGCCTCCTCCATGGTTTACAGATGACGTTGTGTGCTTTGGATCATGAGTTGTTCCAAGCCTTCTCCACACTTTTCTCTTACCGTCATTCTGGTACAGATTCATCTTAGTTTCATCCGTCCAAAGAATGCTTTTCCAGAACTGGTCCGGCTTTTTTGATATTTTTTTGGCAAAGTCGAATCTGGCTTTTCTATTCTTCAGGTTTACGAATGGTTTGCACCTTGTGGTGACCCTCTGTATTTGCTCTCTTGAAGTCTTCTCTTGATTGTAGACTGACAATGATACGCCCACCTCCTGGAGAGTGTTCTTCACTTGCCTGGATGTTGTGAATGGGTTTTTTTTTTTACCATAGAGAGGATCCTGCGATCACCCACCACTGTTGTCTTCCGTGGACGTCCATGCCTTGTCGTGTTGCTGAGCTCACCAGTGCGTTCTTCTTTCCTGAGAATGGACCAAACTGTTGATTTGGCCGCTCCTAGTGTTGCTGCGATCTCTCTGATGGATTTGTTTCATTTTTGAAGCCTTACAATGGCCTGTTTCACTTGCATGGACGACTCCTTTTAACGCGTGATGTCGGTTCACAGCAATTGATTCCAAATGCAAATACCACATTAGAATCAACTCCAGACCTTCTACCTGCTTAATTGATGAATAAATAACAAAGGAGTAGCCCACACATGGCCATGAAACAGCTTTTGATTCAATTGTCCAATTACGTTTGGTCTCTTGAAAAAGGGGGGGTGGCTACTCTTAAGAGCTCTAATTTCTAAACCCCTCCCCCTATGTGGATGTACATACCCTCAAATTACACCTGAGAGTGCGCACTGTCCGCCTAGATCCATTATAGAACTAGAGCTGGAATGTGTTTTGGTTAAATATCTAAAAAAAAAAACTAAAATTTTGCCTGTGTCCAAATATATAAGGACCTAACTGTATATGTATGTATATGTATGTGTGTGTGTATATATATATATATATATAAATCCCGCTAGCAGGATCTTCCCATATCTCAGATGTTCAGTCCTAGCATGACCCATTCAGCTGCAATGATAAATGGCGTCCTTTAATTGGCCTTCATCAACTGTTCAAGTTTTTGTTTTGGCGTCGATATTCTCCCCCCCTCCGGCGAGAATAACATCTTCACGTATAAAAGCCGTTCTGTCTTCCGTCAGAGAATGTAGTTTACCAGCTGTGGGCGTCCCCACCTTGATTGTCGCTCGTCCACAATGAACAAATATACGGCAGAGCTGAGATTACAGTGTGGCAGAGTGACAGCTTAGAGAGCCGGTCACCTGGAAACAGGATGAAGAGAGCTTTTATGATTTCCAGTCGGAGAATGACAATGAGATCTGTATGTGGAATAACCACATTGACAGGTGAAAAAAGAAGTGCCGTACGTAGGAGTGAGACCTCCTCGTCGCTGGACTGATTCCCCAGGAAATGAAGTCATTTGCCGCATCCATTTGTAGTTTTGTTGTGCCATAGAGGGGAGCGTTGAGGTCTTTATGTGGTAGACACCTTGTTGTTTTCTCACTTTCACGATACAAATTTTTCACCTGTTTACACGTATAGGCGGTGTCTAGGAATTGGGCTTCCTTCCTGGGAACCACATAGATTTGCTCCTCCTGGAACCACACAGCTGTTTGTCAAACTTATATTTTCAGGAAAAGTTCATCCTAGTGCACACAGACACAATATAATGCCCATTTTTTGTGAAAAATATAAAAGAGGATGTTGCGTCCCGTAAATAGATACCAAACATGTCACGTGCCCATGACATGGCAAAGCACTGCGGTGCCCAGAATTGTCTATTGGCAAGAGCCTTTACAGGTTGTTAATTTAGGGTGCATAGGGCGATAGTTTGGTAGCCCAGTCTAGCCTTGTGTAGGTCTACAATCTTGTCCCTGACATCCTTGGACAGCTCTTTGGTCTTTGCCATGGTGGAGAGTTGAGTTGATGCCAAAGAGCTGGATTTTGGTCTCCTCTGACCACAACACTTTCAACCAGTCCTCCTCTGCATCATTCAGATGTTCAGTGGCAGACTTCAGACGGGCCTGGACATGTGCTTTCTCGAGCAGCGGGACCTTGCGGGCACTGCAGGATTTCAGTCCTTGTCGGCGTAGTGTGTTACCAATTGTTTTCTTGGTGACTGTGGTCCCAGCTGCCTGGAGATCATTGACAAGATCCTCAAGTGTAGTTCTGGGATGATTCCTCACTGTTCTCATGATCATTGACACTCCACGAGGTGAGATCTTGCATGGTGCACCAGACCTAGGGAGACTGACACTTGTCCCATTAGAACCATACTGCCCAGAGGGTCACGGGGAAGCCGTCAGCGTGACCGATTGAAGAGCCCATATAGCCTTGGCAAGAGTCCCAGCGTCAGTGTCCCCTGCCCACTAGGAGGACTTCCATCATCGATCTCGCCTGGACCTCCGGCTTTTAAGCCATCTTCATGGAAGCTTTTCAATAGTGGGTGGGCGCCACACCCACCACAGAAGGAGCTAGCGCAAGGATTCCTCAAGGACAACACTCAACCAACATATTGATCCCATATCGATATCTGAAAAGTCAGACTTTTGCTTAAGTTCAGCTTCTTATCTACCCCAAACTTCTTCTCATGTACCCCAAACTTCTCATCTACCCCAAACTTCTCACCTGCCCCAAACTTCTTCTCATCTGCCCTAAACTTCTTCTCATCTGCCCTAAACTTCTCATCTGCCCCAAACTTCTTCTCATCTGCCCCAAACTTCTTCTCATCTACCCCAAACTTCTTCTCATCTGCCCCAAACTTCTTCTTATCTGCCCTACACTTAAAGATTTCTAACTTCTCAAGCAAGTAGGCATGTTCAGTTTCCATAAACAAGTTTTTATCTTTTATCTAAGCAGAATGTCTTGTGACTCTGTTCCTTGGGCTTAGAGAGATGACATCAGTCAACTCTCATGCTCCTGGCATTTGAGCAACAATGCTTTATTGTAAAAATTACCCAAGAAACAAATGGTCCAAGGCCAACATATTTCATAGGCATAGGCATTACACTGGGCTTAGAAGACGATTCCACCACTTTGTCCTGAATGGGCAAAATAACAAAATCGCTTTGAAGTTCCTTTAATTTATTCATACTTTTTTTTTTTTGAACTCCTGGAAAGTGCTTACACAACGCATATCAGTCCGCCTCCCCACATCAATACTAAGGATCTGTGCACACAGCCATTCGGAATTGACTTTCTCCCCATTCAAGACAATTTGAAGGATCTCCAAGTTGTCTCATATTGGTCTCAAATTCAGCTGAATGGACCTGAGAACTATCCGACATTTGCCTTTCTGCACAATCCCTAAAGAGCAGAAAGGTAGAGTGATGGAGGTTTCATCCTGGTGATCATTGGCTTGGAGTTGACGTGTTCTGCTAGCAGTTCTTTCACTGGAACAATGGCAGGAGATGTGGCAGACATTGGAATGTGCACGACTGTGATCTACACCCTAGTGTGGGGTAAAGATTCCACCATCTTGGTCACTAAAGTGAACCTCAAGAGGAAAAAGGTGAGCGCCACAAAATCAGCTAATAAACAGTGCAACTTTATTAAATATTGGTGAAAATTAGCCAAGGAGCGCCAACTTGTTTTAGCCGTGAGGTAAAGGCCTAACAGCCTAACAATTTTGAGGTGCTCGCCTTTTCCCTCTTGTGATTGTTGATGGAGATTGTGGAGACCTTTTCAGGCTTGGTACCCTGTGCTTGAGGAGGATGATTACTGTCAGGATGGTAGTAGCTCGGACACACCTGTTCCATTAAAGTGAACCTGTACTTTTCCAATGCAGGGCAATAATTGGTTCACTTTATTGTCCACCTTCCCACTGTGTATACTCACCTTTCTTTTTCTCCTTAGCTTTCTGTCTACAAAGAAAAATACCTGGTTATTATAGTTATCCAGATCATGTGACCCACTGACCACCAATGTAAGGAACATTCTTCTCACTGACCACCAATGTAAGGGACATTCTTCCCACTGACCACCAATGTAAGGGACATTCTTCCCACTGACCCCCAATGTAAGGGACATTCTTCCCACTGACCACCAATGTAAGGGACATTCTTCCCACTGACCACCAATGTAAGGGACATTCTTCTCACTGACCACCAATGTAAGGGACATTCTTCCCACTGACCACCAATGTAAGGGACATTCTTCCCACTGACCACCAATGTAAGGGACATTCTTCCCACTGACCACCAATGTAAGGAACATTCTTCTCACTGACCACCAATGTAAGGGACATTCTTCCCACTGACCACCAATGTAAGGGACATTCTTCCCACTGACCCCCAATGTAAGGGACATTCTTCCCACTGATCACCAATGTAAGGGACATTCTTCCCACTGACCCCCAATGTTATGGACATTCTTCCCGCTGACCCCCAATGTAAGGGACATTCTTCCCGCTGACCCCCAATGTAAGGGACATTCTTCCCACTGACCTCCAATGTAAGGGACATTCTTCCCACTGACCACCAATGTAAGGGACATTCTCCCCACTGACCCCCAATGTAAGGGACATTCTTCCCACTGATCACCAATGTAAGGGACATTCTTCCCACTGATCGCCAATGTAAGGGACATTCTTCCCACTGACCGCCAATGTAAGGGACATTCTTCCCACTTATCACCAATGTAAGGGACATTCTTCCCACTTATCACCAATGTAATGGACATTCTTCCCACTGACCACCAATGTAAGGGACGTTCTTCCCACTGACCACCAATGTAAGGGACGTTCTTCCCACTGACCTCCAATGTAAGGGACATTCTTCCCACTGACCCCCAATGTAAGGGACATTCTTCCCACTTATCACCAATGTAAGGGACATTCTTCCCACTTATCACCAATGTAAGGGACATTCTTCCCACTGACCACCAATGTAAGGGACATTCTTCTCACTGACCACCAATGTAAGGGACATTCTTCCCACTGATCACCAATGTAAGGAACATTCTTCCCACTGACCCCCAATGTAAGGGACATTCTTCCCACCGACCACCAATGTAAGGGACATTCTTCCCACTGATCACCAATGTAAGGGACATTCTTCCCACTGACCACCAATATAAGGGACATTCTTCCCACTGATTCCCAATGTAATGGACATTCTTCCCACTGACCACCAATGTAAGGGACATTCTTCTCACTGACCACCAATGTAAGGGACATTCTTCCCACTGACCCCCAATGTAAGGGACATTCTTCCCACTGACCACCAATGTAAGGGACATTCTTCTCACTGACCACCAATGTAAGGGACATTCTTCCCACTGACCCCCAATGTAAGGGACATTCTTCCTACTGACCACCAGTGTAAGGGACATTCTTCCTACTGACCACCAATCTAAGGGACATTCCTCACAATGATCACCAATGAAGAGACCATTCCATTTTCACTGTTCTCATTATTTTAACTGAAGATATTATGCATATAATTAGCATATCTGGGTGTTAAACATTTCAAGCACGCCACATTTTTCTATTCTTTTATATACTGTCATATATCATCATACCATTCAGGCCAATGTACCCAGAGCTGTAGTTATAGTCATTTATTAGAAGACCCCCAAGGTTATTTCAAGGGTTCCCCTGTGATAAAAAATGTTAATAAAGGCTGAGTTGGACCGTTTCATCAAAATTATGACTTTGGGTCCCATTAGCCAGGTATGCACTCTCTGGTGGGTCTATAAATACAAATGTTTGCATGTTTAGATACCTACAGCTTATCGGGAGAGAAAAGCATCAGACTCGGCTTCCTAACCTGTCCAGACACTATTCCCCTAGAGAGCCTCTACCAGCCTCGTATTGACCAGGGGAGGACTGACAAATCATGGGGCCCCTGTGTCCTATCCCAAACTCAAAAAAGCCTATGAAAAAGGTACCAGGGGGTGAAAGTGTCCAGACCGGAAGGAGGTGAAAGTGTCTAGGTTGGAAGTGGTTAAAAAAGAGCTTGACTTCACAAAGAGACTACTGAAGGTGACAACAGCGCTAGTGTTTAGTCAAGCAGACTTTTTTCTTCAGTCCATTTCGGGAATTAAATTTGGCACACCTCCTATTTTTTACCGTAGTTTGTAAATTATACCTTTTTGTTCATAGCTTTGATTCTACATATTAATGAAATTTTGTGATTTTCCTTCGTATCGAAGGCCTGAATCTACATAGGCGGACCACCAGGCCATAGCAGGCAGTGAAGGCGTTTTATAACATTCTTATGTTCTCTGAAATAACTTCCCATTGATGTTTTCTCTCTGTAAGGATGCAGTTTGGCCTCCATAACCTGTGCCAAGGGCAGGTTCCTCTCTAGAAGAACCCAAATGTCAGTAGGACTCTAGACTTCCTGTGCCGGCTCATCCATGGCATAAGGTCTTGGAGGACGATGTACAGTAGGCAGGTCACCCCGTCCACACCCAGGCTCTTTATTAGATGTGACGTTACGAAAGTCCAGTTGCCTGCAGGCAGAGGAATGGTTGGAGGACTCCATGGTGATGCACAGAGGACACGGTTGTACTTTCAGCCCCGGACCACACAATCGTAACGTGATAAAGGTCATCACTAGTTCATGTTTGCCAGTGCAGGAAATATAAGAATTCCAACAATGATATACAGTTGCAAGAAAAAGTATGTGAACCCCTTGGGATTACGTGTAGTTTTGCATGAATTGGGCATAAAATGTGCTCTGAACGTCATCTAAGTCACAACAATAGAAGAACACAGTCTGCTGAACATAATACTACACAAACATTAGATGTTGCCATGGTTTAATTGCACATACTTCCAATCCCATCTTGATGATTGAAGGACAAACCTTCAGCATCCCTCAGGTTGCAGGCTTTCATGTTGTTACTCACTTAAGCCCCCTTCCCAAGCTTTATTTGAATAATCATGAACAGGAAACTTAAGCAAAGCAGTGTTATTACATTTTTTATTGGACCCTCTGTTGGATATCTTATTGGTCTATTGGCCGGGCAAAGTAGTGGGCTTATTTTTTAAGGCAATGCAGAGCAATGTACCTGAAGACAGCCAGACACAATGTCTTCAAACAGTGGACTTTCAGGGCCCTGGTGCAAGAAACCAAGAAGGGCCCTCCTGACCCCATCATGGGGCCCTTTTTATCTATGCCAGGGCCCTTGCCGCTTGTCCCAGGGCCCTTGCCACTGGTCCTGGGGCCCTTGCCACTGATCTCGGGCCCTTGCCACTGATCTTGGGCCCTTGCCACCTGTCCTGGAGTCCTTTCCATCTGTCCCATGGTCTTTTTCATCTGTCCCGGAGTCCTTTCCATCTGTTCCGGGGTCCTTTCCATCTGTTCCGGGGTCCTTTCCATCTGTTCCGGGGTCCTTTCCATCTGTTCCGGGGTCCTTTCCATCTGTTCCGGGGTCCTTCCCATCTGGCCTGGGGTCCTTTCCATCTGGCCTGGGGTCCTTTCCATCAGTCCCTCGGCCCTTTCCTCTTCGCCCTTGACCCTTTCTTCTTCACCCTCGACCCTTTCCTCTTCGCCCTCGACCCTTTCCTCTTCGCCCTCAACCCTTTCCTCTTCGCCCTCGACCCTTTCTTCTTCACCCTCGACCCTTTCCTCTTCGCCCTCGACCCTTTCCTCTTCGCCCTCGACCCTTTCCTCTTCACCCTCGACCCTTTCCTCCTGCCCCTCGACCCTTTCTTCTTCACCCTCGACCCTTTCCTCTTCGCCCTCGACCCTTTCCTCTTCACCCTCGACCCTTTCCTCCTGCCCCTCGACCCTTTCCTCTTCGCCCTCGACCCTTTCCTCTTCACCCTCGACCCTTTCCTCCTGCCCCTCGACCCTTTCCTCTTCACCCTCGACCCTTTCCTCTTCACCCTCGACCCTTTCCTCTTCACCCTCAACCCTTTCCTCTTCACCCGCGCCCCTTTCCTCTTGGCCTGCAGCCCTTACATCTTGGTCCGGGGCCTTTACATCTTGGTTTGGAGCCCTTCCCACTGATCCCAGGGGCCTTTTACTCTTGTAACCTTTTATTATGGTTCCACAGCTCGACCCTTTCACATGTTCTACAGCGGGCCCCCTTCCTGCCATGTTGGAGCTCCCTCACGATGGCAGAACCTTCAGGGGTCTTGAGCAAGAAACCATGAAGGGCCCCCATGACCCCGTCCCGGGGTCCTATTCATCGGTCCCAGCGCCTTTTTTCCACTTGGCACGTGACCCTTCCAACTGTTCCCGTGGCCCTTTATTATGGTCCCGTAGCGGGACTCTTTCACATACGTGTCCATTAAAGCAGAACTACACGGCATCTGAGCAGCACAAACCAAAAACACTAATTCATTTTTAATATTCAAAAGCAAACCCCCCCCCCCCCCATCCATCCGTGGCTCCATGCTTTGTTTTGCTGAAAAATCACTTTAAACCCCCCCCCCCCTAGCATTTCTAGCCTCGGACATCTTGAGTAAGGGCAGATGATTCATGCAGCATTTAAGTCCTTGAATTCATCCGCCCTTACCTCAGGAATGCAGGCAGGAGGATGTGCTTAGTTGAGAAAGCCCCTCCTCCCTTCCTGAAGACTCCTGGGATGTATGACGTCGTTTTGGTCTAGGCCAAAAACCAAAAAGTCACTGAAGAAATGTAAAAAAAAACAAAAACATTTCAAACCAGTAAATATAATCTACTTTCCTGTCTATTTACTAATGGTGGCAGAATAAGTCAGTGCTGACTGAGAGAGTGAAGTTGTGCTTTGTGCGACGTCCTCCCACGCATGCGTGTCCCCGGGGGCACGACGATCGGTGGTGTCAGCATGAGAAGAGGACTGCCAAAAAACCGGCATTTCCTGTTTACATGTGATCAACTGTGATTGGACACCGCTGATCACATGGTACAGAGACTTCGTCATTGGCTCTTTACCACAATCAGTGATCCGTTGTGTCCAACGCGTCAGTCCTCAGAGGTGACATCTACACTGATAATCAGGGCACTGATCATCAGTGCAGCCCCATCAGTGATGCCTATCAGTGCAGCCTATCGGTGCCTCCTCATCAGCACAGTCTTAGTACCTATCAGTGCCAGTCAGGGCTCATTATTGCCACCTATCAGTGATGCCTAACAGTGCCACCTACTGGTGCCAATTGGGACTCATCATTGCCGCCTATCAGTACCCATCAGTACCGCTTTTCAGTGCCCATCAGTAATGCTTGTCAGTGCCCATCACTACTGCCTTTCAGAGCCCATCAGTGCTGCCTATCGGTGCCTCTCAGGGCTCATCATTGCTGCCTGTCAGTGCCTATTAGTGATGCTTGTCAGTGCCACCTACTGTTGCCTCCTCATCAGCGCAGTCCTAGTACCCATCAGTGCCACCTATCCGTGCCTCTCAGGGCTCATCAGTGCCACCTATCCATGCCTCTCAGGGCTCATCAGTGCCTCTCAGGGCTCATCAGTGCCACCTATCCGTGCCTCTCAGGGCTCATCATTGCCACCTATCCGTGCCTCTCAGGGCTCATCAGTGCCACCTATCCGTGCCTCTCAAGGCTCATCAGTGCCACCTATCCGTGCCTCTCAGGGCTCATCAGTGCCACCTATCCGTGCCTCTCAAGGCTCATCAGTGCCACCTATCCGTGCCTCTCAGGGCTCATCAGTGCCACCTATCCGTGCCTCTCAGGGCTCATCAGTGCCACCTATCCGTGCCTCTCAGGGCTCATCAGTGCCACCTATCCGTGCCTCTCAGGGCTCATCAGTGCCACCTATCCGTGCCTCTCAGGGCTCATCATTGCCACCTATCCGTGCCTCTCAGGGCTCATCATTGCCGCCTATCAGTGCCTATTAGTGATGCTTGTCAGTGCCACCTACTGTTGCCTCCTCATCAGCGCAGTCCTAGTACCCATCAGTGCCACCTATCGGTGCCTCTCAGGGCTCATCATTGCCACCTATCAGTACCGCCTATCAGTGATGCTTGTCAGTGCCCATCAGTGCCGCCTTTCAGTGCCCATCAGTGATGCTTGTTAGTGCCACCTATCAGTGCTGCCTCATCAGCACACATCAGCAAAGAAGAAAAATTCTATACAAAATTTTGTAACAGAAACTAAGAAAAACTTTTTTTTTTTTTTTAAATTTTTGGTCTTTATTTTGTTTCTTTAGCAAGAAATAAAAAAAAAAAAAACAGCTGTGATTAAATAGCACCAAAAGAAAGCACTATCTATCAATTTAGTTTGGGTACAGTGTTGCATGACCGCACAATTGTCATTCAAAGTGTGATAGCGCTGAAAGCTGAAAATTGGCCTGGGGGGGAGGGGGGGAAGTGTCCGGTAGG